TCTGAATAATTTCAGCGTCTGAAGAAATTCTGCGTCTGAACTTTCTCGTTCTGAGTCTGAATCTCTTTTGCTTGAAGTTCTTTCACAATCTGAACACGAACTAGATCAAGATTGACATATGCTTTTCTTCCAAAAACAACTTCCTGAATCAAAATACTTCAAAGCATTTATCAGACTTACAAAACACTCATGGATAGTTTTATTAACTTCAAAATCTATTGGGAATTTTCCTTAACAGAGTCATCATGGAGTTCGTTAGGGCTCCTGGTCTTCGCTGTTTCTGCATTCCCCTGATTTTGTATCTCTCGCGTTAGAGTTCTCTTGGTGTTGTCTTCCTTACGTCTTTTGTTGACCCATGTTTTGTTGACTTGACACCATTGTTGTTATTGGCGTTAACTACCTTGAAATGAAGTAAAATGCGGACAATTAAGCTAAACCTATTTTTGAAGTTGGTGTTCACCGTTGTGACAAGAAGAAAAAGAAGAAGAAGTAGTTGGTATCCACCGGTCGAGAAGATATTAAGTAGATCAGTCTTGTCACGTAAGCCGTGCGTCACTCTATTCATTGTTTGCCAAGTATCCGTGATGGGTTGTCGGATTTTGGCCTGTTTCTCTCTCCTTCCCTCCCTATTGATCCACTCTCTCCTTCTCCCTTCGACCCTCTCCATCTCTGCACGTCCCAAAAGTTCCACAGAAAGTTCACCTGTCCTCTCCGTCACCTAAGCCCGACCTTTGTGCCTCCCCACCGTCCCGACCAGCAGAGTTGCCAGCGCTGACCAAACCAGCCAAATATGGCCGAACGACACCAGCGACGGCCATGGACGAGCGTCGCTTGTGAGCCGCTTGTCCAAACCTGGATTTGGAGAACTTTAGATTTGACCTCGCCCGCCTCAATCTTCAAACGCCGACCAGATCTAGCCATACGATATTGACGACAGCCATGGACAAGTGTTGGCGTAGCTCGCGAGCCTGGCTCATCCATGACCGCTGACGCAGTTGTCCATGGATGGCTGATGAGCTGCTATCCACAGCCACGAGCGTCGTCCATTGCGCAAAACGGAAAAAGAAAAACGAAGAAAACAAAGAAAAAAGAGAGAGAAATGAAGGAGATAGAAAAAAAATCTAATAAGTGGACCTCACTCGAACATGTGGCGAGCAATGAACGGAATGACACATGACCTACGTGATAAGACAGACCTACTTAATATTTTCTCTCACCTCTAAAGTTATAATCTTATTCATTTATTGTAAATTAATCAATTGTTGAGTAACTCGACAAAGTGAAGGGCTCCTAAAGTACAATTGACTGCAAGGATTGTATTAAAATTTCACGTAAAAATTTAAGATAAAATTAATAAAATTAAAAAAATTTAGAATTGAATTGATCGTACATGCAATAAATTTTGAATTGATCCATTTTTTCAACATTCGTCAGCAGGAAGAAGTATTGCTTCTACTTTTCTTAGGAAATGATCACGTTAGATTCGCATTAAATCTTGTTGTACTTCTTTGTTGTGATCCACACTACCATTATTCTACCACCGGTAATCATGGAAGATATAAACAAATGTACAGAGACGAGCAATCCATGATTGAAACACACTTTTCCACCGAAAAATGGAGTGGCGTTTATTTATATTTAGTAGGAAATTCCATGCGATTTCGTATTTGTGCCTATGGTGCATTTGCATAGCTAAACAGGTCCAATTTGATTAAATTATTAATTAAAATTAAATTATCCTACTAGAAGAGTTATGACAAAACAAAAACAAAAAAACGTACTAGAAGAGTAGTATTTTCTAAGACTAAAAAAAGCATACCCATATTTTTCAACTAAAAGTTGTGTCATGGACCAAAATTAGATGATTTCATACATGCAGCTTTTGATTTATCGGCTTGACTTAATCTCATCGAGATTCAGAGTTCTGGTAGCCTATCCGCCGGTCGCTCCTTGAACGAAGTATCCATTTTCCCACATAAATGCACTTCACGTTCTGCGTTACAAATAGTAGCCGGAGCATGGTGAGTCTAGATACTAGATAAACGACCCTTTCTTAAATATCAATTTGTCACAATTACAATTTGTAGAAATCTATCAGTGTAAAGTCGTATCCCCCCGTCTTCGTCCAACTTATAAATATCATCCATTCAAATAGTCGGCGGATGCACAATGATAAATCGAGAGCAACAAGCTAAAGAATTTCGAGAAACATCTTAGATTAATGGACGGCCTACATGAATTTCAAAGTTAATATCTTCAAAAGAACATAGTTCATGATAATAAAAAAAAAAAAAAACGATGGAATAGGATACCCAGTGGCATAGGCCCCTACCAGCCTTCCTTGGGTAAACCATGTGTGAACCTCTCTCTCGAAAAGGAGCTCATTTCTTTGGTTCACGCGTGCACGTATAAAATGGAGGATTGTGTCCGAACTTGGAGCAAAAAGAAGCAAAGAGCTGTCTTTTTCTAAGTTCTTGCTTACTTCTTGACTTCCTTCTCTCTCTCCATTCCCATCAACTCTAAATAAGCAGACACTCCATCATGACATAAGCGCAATGGGCGGCTTTTGCGCCCGAAGGTTCTTTAATTTTGGGGATAACTTTGGCTAAATATGTAATTTAATCCCTTGACTTTTAATTTGTTCAATATAGTCCTTGAACTTTTGTCTAATATTCAATGTGGTCCCTAAAATTTTAATTTATTCAATGTGATTCTTATATTTTTTGTATATATTCAATATAGTCCCTGAACTATATGAAAATATTCAATGTAATCCCTGAACTTGAATTAATGGAAGGACTAGATTGAACATTTTCATATAGTTCAAGGACTAAATTGAACATGTACCAAAATTTTACGAATGACATTGAACAAATTAAAAGTTCATGAATCACATTACACATTGGGCCAAAGTTTAGGGACTGTTTGTGTTATTTTCCCTTAATTTTTCTCTCTTCTGAAAAGGGTAAAAAAAATGACTCATAAATTTAGCATGCCATACTGCTGACCGATAATTGGTGGCGATTCCAGTTTTATGCAGTTTGACAAGAACATTTGTCTCTGAGGTTTGGTTGAGGTAATCGCAGATTTTCTAATTCAACGTCGACGGATAACTTTTTGATGACTAACAAACTTGGCAATTTGCCCCTTTATTAGGTTGGGCGCTACGGGGTCAACTAGAAAAATTAGAACATTTGTCTCTGAGGTTTGGTCGAGGTAATCGTGAAGTTTTTTTTAACGACGGATTACTTTTTGATTAATGGGAGAGTTGATTTTGGTTGAGCCAGCGAAACGAATCTGTAATTATATGTGTACGTTCAACCAAAAAGGGGAATGTACACCCAGATAATTAACACATGCATCTGTTCCCCCCCCAAAGAAGAAATAGAGCACATACATCTGTTTAGATCACAACCACCATTTGATATGCCATCATGTCATACACATGTCCGTTTCCATGCGACGACACGGGCTACGTCAAGCTTTCACAAAGGAAGGCAGTAAATGACGGTCATTTGTTCTTTGTCTAGCTAAAGATGGGAATTTACAGTACAGCATAGGCCTACTTTAGGACCAGTGGAATTGTACGTAAAATGAGATTCTCTGCTCACGAACTGCACAAGCGTGAAGCATGCTTTGAGTTGAGCGTATCGCGATGGAGAAGCCCCTCCGGGTGTTGGTCATACTAGCTGAGATAGCCATGTTCATTTTCACTATATTTGTAGCTCCTACTGTATATAATACCACGAATATCTAATCATTATTAGTATCGTGTAATAGGATCAATGAGAGATTCTTAGATAATAACTACCAGATGATCATGCACTTGAAAATTTGTGGAATGAGATGATCACTGCTATTTATGTATATGATGTAGGCATATCCAGCATCAGTTGACAGTTTTCAACTAGCTAGAAGCGAAAAGGCACAACCTCGAACTATTTTCTTGTCAAGGAGGGTATCTTTAGTTGTAGAGAGAAAGTAAACCAATTAGAATTATGTAAACTATGTACCGCAGAATCAAAATAACAGAGATTTCATGCAACAAGCAGAATAATCACTAGAAGAAGTACCGAATTTCGAACAAAAAAAAATTACTGAATTACTATTGCATTGCTAAGTAACAAACAAAGACGATGATTAAGAATGCAATCCATTAATTATCATGGTTCATCATGCATGATGCTGCACCATAGGATATCAGAAACACGTCCGGATGCACGACCTATGCTGCGGTGGGCAGCTGATGAACATTAAAACTATAGTTGTTTGTGCCATGCGAGTGACAAGTCGGCAGTGTTGGTCCATCGGTCATGCATATGATATGCAGGGTAGGCGCAACACAATTTCGTGGGTACGACGACCCAATGATGCATTTCTCTTTCTAGGTATTGCCTGGACAACGACAATGTTATGCTTGAATGTTTGTTTGGACCACATCTTGGACATATACTCGGTCCCTCCAGCATTCTATATGCTGAGATTGAGATTGAGTTTGAGATTGTGAAGCATCTTTCCTTTCGACGTTGCACTCTCTTGGCCATCTCCAGCTACCCCAGTTGGATCTCTTCCTCTGGTTATACTAGTCACTTAATGAATCTATTCTGTAGAGAAAAGCAAAATCTAGAGCTCCACTCAAACAATCAATTGATACGATCAAAGAACATCCACCAGATTCCCACGTCCACGATCATCATTGTCCGTGACTCGATTGGCCCCCACCTCCGTCCCTCCATATGTTCACTTTTGAAAGCAATCGGTCTCTCCTCGGTTGCCCCCACGAAGCCTTGCTCCAAATTTCATAAATAAATTTGATTGATCCACAAAATTAAAAAAAAAAATTGAGTGTTAAATTGATATGATCAATTAAATTGCACATTTACATTCCGTGAAATTACTTACTGTACTTTGTATTAGTCTTACATTGCTCTCATAGTAATAAGTCCTCAACATGATAGGCATTTTCCTCTCATCACTTTGCATTCTTTTAAAATAAGACTCAATGTCAAATGCATCTCCATATATTTCATTATATAAACAGGCCATCTACCCCTCCACATCACAGGGGGGCAGTTTCTCTCGCTGCCATACCATACCACACTCACTGTCTCCGTCGCACGCCAAACCAGCACGCTAGGATGCGCCGCGCCACCACCGTCAGGTGCCTGCTCGTCTGCGGCGCTCTTCTCCTGCTTCTCCGTACAACCCCGGCCGTAGCATGGCGTCCCTGGCCCCACCAGAGAACTGGCCACTCTGATCTCATCCTGGGCGGCTCCAAGAAATACGAGGGCTCGTCGGAGCTCGTCCACCTGAAGTACCACATGGGCCCCATCCTCACGGCCAACGTCACCGTCTACCCCATCTGGTATGGCACGTGGCGCAAGGCCCAGAAGAAGATCATCCGCGAGTTCATCAGCTCGATCTCGGCCCTCCGTCCCAAGCGCCCCTCGGTGTCCGGGTGGTGGAGGACCGTCCGGCTGTACACCGACCAGACCGGCGCGAACACGTCTCGCTCGGTCCGGCTCGGGGAGGAGAAGTCCGACCGGTTCTACTCCCACGGCAAGTCGCTGACGAGGCTCTCCGTGCAGTCCGTGATAAAGAGCGCCGTCACGGCCCGCACGCGCCCGCTCGCGACCAACCCCAGGGGTGGGCTCTACCTGGTGCTGACGGCGGACGACGTGTACGTCCAGGATTTCTGCGACAACGTGTGCGGGTTCCACTACTTCACGTTCCCTTCGATCGTGGGGTTCACCCTCCCGTACGCGTGGGTGGGCAACAGCGCGAAGCTCTGCCCGGGCGTGTGCGCCTACCCGTTCGCCGTGCCGGAGTACATGCCCGGGTGGAAGCCGCTGAAGCCGCCGAACGGCGACGTGGGGGTGGACGGGATGGTGAGCGTGATTGGCCACGAGATCGCCGAGCTGGCGACGAACCCGCTGGTGAACGCCTGGTACGCCGGTCAGGACCCGAGCTTCCCTGTGGAGATTGCGGACCTCTGCGAGGGCATTTACGGAACTGGGGGCGGTGGGTCCTACACGGGGCAGATGATGGAGGGCCCGGATGGGGACACGTACAACATGAACGGGAACAGGAGGAGGTTCCTGGTCCAGTGGGTGTGGAACCATGTGGTCGGATATTGCACTGGCCCTAATGCGCTCGATCAGTGAGCTTCCGTTGTAATAGACCGCCTTCTCTTTTCATCGTCTTTCTCTTTTGGCTGTTTTCTTCTGCTTTATGTGCTGTTCTTTTTCGTTTTGATTTTCTCTGAGTATCTAGTTATGGTAGTTATTGTTGAATATGTTGAAAAAGAAGCTGATCATTGGCTCTGTGTCGTGTACAAACAGATAGTTATACTTCAGCATTTGCAGGTTTGCAGGTCGCCGATGAATGACCGAATGGTTCGCCAATTGTCGTTCGCTTGTTTACAAGATAGTTTCTCCTATCGAGAAGAGCTATGATCTTCTCCATAATCAACCTGGTCGGGACACTGCAGGGGACCCATTTGCTTGTCCTTCTCTCGTTTTAAATTTTAACGTTGGTCATTTAGCTTAGTGTGGGGTTTGAGAGTCGAGGTTCTATGATGTCTCCCTCCTTGTCGTTTTGGGAGTGCCCAAGTGGAGCCGTTTTGGCTTTTGCCAAATGCATGATTGCATCGGGGGCACAAATACAAAATCGCATGAAATTTCCTACTAGATGTAAACGAACGCCACTCCATTTTTCGGTGGAAAAGTGTAACTTCATCATGGGTCCAAGATCCCATGAGTCCAAAAGTTGCTGCTACTGCTCCCAATGACTTTCAGCGTGGAAAATTTTGAGGATGATTTGTTTGCTCGTCCCTGTACAACGGGAGACATAGTGGTAGAATAATGGTGGGTGTGCATCAAAAGGAATTCAATCAGATCTGGGGTCTTTTCCTACCCAAAGAAACCAAAGAAAGGAAGCAATTGTTGCTATAAATCAATGACAACGTTGCGATCACTTAACCCACTTACTGAAATGAACTTAATCATGAAAAACAAATTATCTGTAAATTATATAATAACATATAAAATAATGGAACAACATAAGTAATTTCTTTAAAATTCTACAACGATTCTTTATGCCACAGTTAAAATTATTACATCAGAAGCTTTTGTGTTAATAAAGAACATTCTTTTTTGGCTTACACGGTCTGGAAAAATCTTATATAATATATATAGCTAACAAAAAGTAAAATTTGAAGCTTTTAACTAGTAAAAATCCAAACACTTGAAGGAGGAAATCCATAGCTTGGTTCGGTTTAGGGAAAAGTACAAAAAAAAAACCATAACAATTCAATCTTAAATTTTTCAATTGAACCAATTTAGTCATAAACATTTTCAATTTGTGTCGATTGAGTCCGTCAGGCCAATTTTTGCTGGAAATCGCTGACATTAATATGTGGCATGGCCTGTGCTGACATGGAAATTTTTTAAAATTTTTTCTTAGCAATTATACAAAAGGCTTCCCTCAGTTTGTGTTTTTATTATCCAGATTACCAAAAGAAGTAGATATTTTTTACTTTATGACGTGGATAGAGATTAAAATTTTGCCTTGCATGAACAAATGCATACAGATTACCTTTTACTGGCTTCCTTTCTTCCATTTGGTTCCCGAGAACAATTAACCTACTGAATTATAAACGAAATCATCATTCCCTTTTGTTAATTTTGCTTGATGCCATGGAATTAGGCCGTCCAACGGTGGGTGGGGTTGAAAACGATCCGACAGAAATGTGGTCGAGTAGCTTGTGGGAATGAATGGTAGACAATGATAACTTCATAAACAGTTGACTAGCTTAGGCTTCTATTGGGGAAGTTTTTATGATTTATTATCATGATTTATCTATGTATGAAATCATCTAATTTTGGTCTGAAACACAACTATTAATTGAATTTATAGATATGCTTTATTAGGTCTAGATATCAAATGTCCCTCGGCGGGATAAGGACACTGGGAGTGTCATAACTTTCGTACGGTGTTCACTTGAGTGCCACAACTTTTTTTTTGCTCACTTGAGTGCCACATCAGAGTAAAATAGATTATTTGAGTGCCACTTCCGGCGAAAATAGATCACTTGAGTGCTATTTCTGGCAAATGAGCTGATGTGGATTTTTTAATTAATTTTCCATCCAACGTGGATTTTTTAAATGTTATTTTATTTTATTTTATTTTATTGATTGTTTTAAAAGTTTCTTTTTTTATCTTTTTCTTTCTTATTATTTTTTTTTCAAGGTTGGCGAGGGTCGCCGGTGACCCTCACCGGCAGCCGCCTCGCCTGCGGCGGCGAAGGCTCTCACCAAATCCGGCGAGGTCACCTTGTCCGCGGCCACGAACGCCCTTGGCGAGGCCATGGCGGCCTCACTGGCCGCGAGCTTGGCGGCGAAGGCTCTCACCAGATCCAGCAAGGCCGCCTCACCCGCAGCGGCGAAGGCTCTCGCCAGATCCAGCGAGGCCGCCTTGCCCACGGCCGCAAAAGCCCTTGGCGAGGCCGTGATGGCCTCGCCGGCGCGGGCGAGGTGGCGAAGGCCTCGCCAGATCTGGCGAGGCTGCCTCGCCCGTGGCGGTGAAGGCTTTCGCCAGATCTGACGAGGCCGCCTTGTCCGCGGCCGGTGAGACGGCCTTTAAGGCCTCACCCGAGGCCTTCACGGCCAAGGGCATGGCGGCCCTCGCCCAATCTAGGCAAGGCCTTCACAACTGGCGAGAGTCGTCGGTGGCCCTTGCCGGCATTGAAAAAAAATTTGCAAAAATAAAAAAATTAATAATAAAAAAACTCAAACATTCAAAAAAATATTAAAATATTGTCCACGTCAGCTCCGGCGAAGCCACGTCAGATTTTCCGGCTGTCAAATGGCATTTGGCACTCAAGTGATCACTTTTTCAAATTTTTAGCAATCAAGTGAGCCAAAAAAAAGTTATGGCACTCAAGTGAGCACCATACAAAAGTTAAGACACTCCTAGTGTCATTATCCCTCCCTCAGCAGATTTGTTGTTTCAATTACTGGCTTCCTTTCTGGTCCTCCTTGGATACCAAGAATAAACTTTGTGAATTAAAAACCCTGTCAACATGTCCTTTTGTTAATCGTGCTTGATTCCACAGAATGAAGGGGAATGAACATCTGATCTTGAAGGGAAAAGGCATTTTATTACCTTATTCTCATTGACACACGAAGGAGGTGACAATGGATGATAGCCAAGGGCAACTGTTCTGTTTCAACTTTAGAAGGAAGTCTATTAACTTGCTTTCTCTTATAGTAACATACACGTGAAAATTTGAAGCATTTATCAAAGTGTTACCAAATGCAGTGAATTAGAAATTTATTACTATACCCTTCCTTACATTTGTTATTCTGTTTTCCTTTTATTTTAGTTCATTGCCTCAAGGTTCTTGCCGAATTAAGATCCTGAAGACCTCCCTCTAGGCCTCTCGTGTTCCTATATATTCTGATAATCACACCCAAGTCTTCACCTTCACCTTCACCTTCGCCTTCGCCTTCTTTGCCTGTCAATCAAATAGCAGAAAACAAACAAAACATGAAGAGGATCTCCACTTGCCTGGTGCTTCTGCTTGTTCTCTTCCTAATTGCTGGTAAACTGTAGTCCCATCTCAGAACCGGCAACCGATCACTTTTTTTTTCCACTATTTGATGCCATTTTTTCGTGTTCCCCACTACTTTTTTAGTAAAAGATCTTAGTAAAAGGACCCTAACTATATGCTGATATATCTTCTACGATAAACAAAAATAAAAAAGCAAATTTATAATTGCAGATCGAAAACAATAAACAAAGCCCATCATTCATCGAGAGATATGAATTATTTTGCAGCCATGAATGATCAGTAAAGATCCTCAAATTGAAAAGACGAACTAAAAAACGTATTTTACTTAGGGTTTAGTTCACATTTACTAATTTTTTTGAAGAAATAAAAAAAAAAGTATATATAGTCAGTCCGGTCTGATCGGTCCGATTCCCTTTGGAATCAAAAATCGCACTGTCTGGATACCACTTTCACTTTTAGAAACCGGGAACCAGACTGACACTCCTGAGAACTAGACCCAACCGGCCTGTCCGATCTGGGCAGTTTCCGGTTTGGGCGATCCGTTTTGAACATACCTACTTTATGCCCCCACCAAAATCTTGCAATAGCAGCATCTACATCCATTACACCATTTTTTTTTTGGGGGAGAATTTAAAGCACGGCATAGAATATGTAGGAATGGTACAAGCGACAGCCCTTGCTGCAGGTGACAAAAGGAGTGCTTTCCTACCAGGATTTTGTCCTCTACTGTCTTCAGTGCTTCTACCTTTGATCTCCACCACAAAGTGGGGAAACCGAGGTACTTCCCAGGGTTAGAAACCATAGTGAGGAATGTAAATTGATATGGATGACAAAACTCAAATTGGTTTATGAAATCTTCCCATTTCTAAATCAGTAGTTGCTCAAAGTAAATTATTCCCCAAGATACTCTTCTCCCACTGATAGACATATCTTGAGAACCGGATCGGTGGGAACCTATCCGGTTCCAAGTTCCAGGTTCTAGATTTCAAGTTCCAAGTTATAAGGTATGCATGATAGATTCCAGGTTCTAAAAATTGAGAAACATATTTCAACGGATAAGTTCCACATTTTAGATAGGTGGAACGTGGAACTTAGAACCTGCAACAAGCTTTTGTGTTTTTCTTAGTCTGTGTTTTCACATGATCCTGCGGTGTTCTATGGTATCCGATGATAAGTATATAAAATGAAATTACTAGTTTAAGCTTCCATTTTATAACTGAGACTTTTATTTTGTTAATATTTTCATATTTTTTGTATATCTAAATATAATTTGTGATCAGTGAATTATAGCAGCAAGTGGTGGTCATAAAAAGTGATGTTTAACTGCAATCGTTTGATTAATAATACAGGTGGAACCTAAAAGCGACCCTAGAACCTGTGATAGAGTAGATTCCAGGTTCCAAAGTATACAAGGTAGGTTCCAAGTTCCAAGTTATGCATGGTAGGTTCCAGATTCCAAAAATGAAGAATTTGTTCCAACGAATAGATTCCAAGTTTCATGTGGAACCTATATGGAACCACTTGGAATCTACCTTAAACCTAGAACCGCTCACCCCTAATATTCCTAACTTTGTCACCTTACATAGGGAAATTAGGAGTAATTAAAAAAGAGAATGACACGACATAGAATGTGTGTTTTGGGTGTGCACTCAATGCACTCAAAATTTTCGCCTAGTTCTGATACTAAGATAAGAATATTGGGAAGAGAGAATTGTGCATCTTGTATATTATGAGTTATTTCATAGTCTTGACAAGATGACTACATAAGGTAAGAGCACATTACTTATAATATGTAGTATGAAAAGAGATATTTATACAATCTCGATAGATTTGGAGAACCAAGGGAGTTATGGAGAATTTCTAGATATTTTTTGACTCCCACAATGAATAACAATCATATAGAGTACTTCCCTCAATAGATTTTTTTTTTCAATTAACAAAAAGATTAGACTTTTTACCTTTATAAGGTGCATAGAGCAATTACGTTTTCACCGTTATCTCAAAAGTTTAAGTCAATGAGAGTTATGAGTTCTCACGTGTGTGAACTATCCTTCTGCCATTTGTTGGGAGTACGTAGCAGAAACCCGATACCTTCACCCGGGAGATCGCCAAGAGGAAGCCCAAATTCGAGCCCTTGAACATATCTAGTTGGACTCACCTTCATTCAAAAGCTTAAGCTAATTAGTTATAGGCCAACTAAAATATATTAACAGTTCCACACCACACAAATTCTCCAATATGGGACTTTTGAACACAAATCACACATAAAACTCAACAAGAATAAACCTTGTGAAATGAAACCGCTACAATCATTTTCTTTTGTTAATCATGCTTGTTACAATAGAATGGAGGAGGGAATGAGCATCAAAGTTTGAAAGGAGAAAGTGATTTTTTACGTTATCTTCATTAACACACCAAGGAGGTGGGAATGGATGATAGTCAACGATTTCATAAATAGCAGTTATTCTATTATTAAAGTTTTAGAAGGAAATCTTAAATGCTAAGTTCATTTCGTAAATCTATTAATTTGCTTACTTTTATAGTAATAATTTAAAGCATATATCAAAGTGTTACAAATACAGTGAATTAGGAATTAATTACTATTCCCATCTTTTTATTTTTCAATCTGATTTCGTTCCATCTTTGTTCATTGCCTCTCGTACTCCTATATATTCTGATAATCACACCCTCCTCTACACCTTCACCTTCCTCTCCTTTCAACGAAATAGCAGAAAACAAACAAACATGAAGAGAATCTCCATTTGTTCTGTGCTCCTGCTCGTTCTCTTCCTGATTGCTGGTAAACAGCAATCTCTCCTATTTTAATGTTTACATATATATACATATCAACTATCCGTTTTGTGGTCTCTGCGTATGTTGTTAGACCGCCTACCACGGCTAAGTAAATGGGCTGATTATAAGCAAAAGAAAGAAGGAAAAGGCAAAACGGTGTCTGAAGAGAATGGCTTTGATCTATACTTGGCTAAAAGATTGAGGAAAGAGTTAAACAGATTTGAGTGCATGCAGGTAATGGAAGCATGATGGCACGGGGGTCGCGCACAATGGAGCCGGGGCGGGTCTTCTGCGATAAGGAGTATCTCACCACTCCAGGGGCATGCACCAATCAGAAGTGTTTGGCCGAGTGTAGGACCGCGTACGGCAGTTCGGCTAGTGGATTTTGTAAGTCGGAGAAAGGCCCGAACGATGTCTGCGACTGTCATTACCCTTGCTAGTCCTAGAGCCGTCCCATAACCGCCCAATAAGCGGCATATTATGTGCTGCATATGCTTTGCAGTTGTTGAATCCCAACATCTTATGTACCTACTGACTACTATTTAGCCGATATGCTCACAAATAACAATCTGAAATAGGGTTTGCGCCGATTTCATCTACAACATTTCTCCTTCAATCAGTACACATAATAGCCGAATAATTAACAAAAAAGTCTTAAACCTATTGCAATTGGACTACCAGCTGTCCTACGTGATATCGCCAGCGCTAACATGGACAAATTTTAATAATATATTTTTAATAAATTTTTTTCTTTTTTCTTTTTCTTTCTTTTTTCCTTCTTCAATTGAGTCGACGGCCTCCTCAATGGCTGGCCACCAGCAACGGCTGACCTCGCCAGCCGAGCGAGGCTCGCCTCACAAGGGCGAGGTCACCCAAGGCTGGTGAGGGCCGACCTCGCCTACCGCAAGTGAGGCTTGATAGAGGCTAGCCTCACCCATCACCATCTTCATCGACTTCTCTCGCGTCATGCTCTTCAACGATCTCCCTCAATCTGCCATCTCCGACAAAAGCCCACCTTCATCGCCGACAATAATCCCCACAAGGACATCAACATCGCCTTCTTCAATCTCCCCTTCAATCTCACTAGCCTCTGTCTAGCCTCACCCGAAGCGAGCGAGGCCGACCCTTGTCGACCACTAGTAAGGCTCGACCTCGCCGAATCCAGCGAAGGCAAGTTTCGTCGATGGCTGGCCATCAAGGAGATAGATAATTGCAGGGAAAATTGTCAAATCAGTCCTAAACCTATTGTACGGCGGCCAATTCAGTCCTAAACCTTTTAAATTCTTGCCAATTGAGTCCTTCCGGCCAATTTTGGTCGACCGGCACTGACGTGGCCGCCCGCCGGCGTCGACCGTCCGGTCAACGCTGACGTGGCAATTTTTAATTATTTTTTTTTCAATTTTTTAATCTTTTTTCTGCTTTCTCCCCTCTAGCCGGCCCGGCGGCCGGCCAGAGGGGAGGGCCGGCGAGGCCTCTGGCGAAGCTCGCCCCGCCGGCCACCGGCGAGGGCAAGCCTCGCCGGCCCCCGGGCCGGGCGAGGCGAGGCGAGGTCGAGCCTCGCCAGATCCGGGCGAGGCTCGACCTCGCCGTCGCGACCCAGCTCGACCTCGCCTCGCCTCGCCTCACCTCGCCCGGGTCGCGACGGCGAGGCGAGGTGAGGCGAGGTCGAGCCTCGCCGTCGCTTGGGCGACGGCGAGGTAGAGCCTCGCCAGATCCGGGCGAGGCTCGACCTCGCCGTCGCGACCTGTGCGACGGTGAGGCGAGGCGAGGTCGAGCCCTTCCGTGGGCCGGCGGGGTGAGCTTCGCCAAAGGCCTCGCCTGCCCTCCCCTCTGGCCGGCCGCCGGTTGCCGGACCAGCCAGTGGGGAGAAAGCAGAAAAAAAAAAAAAGATTAAAAAATTGAAAAAAAATAATAATTAAAATTGCCACGTCAGCGTTAACCGGACGGCCGACGCCGGCCGGCGGCCACGTCAACGCCGGCCGGTCAAAATTGGTCGAAAGGACTCAATTAGCAAGAATTTAAAAGGTTTAGGACTGAATTGGCAAACTTAAAAAGTTTAGGACTGAATTGGCCGCCGTACAATAGGTTTAGGACTGATTTGACAATTTTCCCGACAATTGCATATGAAGAAGGAAAAAGAAAAAAAAAACAAAGAAAAATTAATAAATAGATAAATAATTCGAAAAATTATTAAAAAATTATTCACATCGACGCCGACCGTGCCACGTAGAATGGTTGGCGTTCGTGTCAGCGATTTCCGATCAAAATTGGTTGGATGGACTGAATTGGCACAAATACAAAAGGTTTAGGATTCAATTGGCAAGAAAAAAAAGGTTTAGGACTGAAATAACACAATCGCAATAGGTTTAAAACTTTTTTGGTAATTCTCCCCATAATAGCTTTTCTTCCATACCATGCATTTGATGGACCGTCATCAAACAAATATCTAAGAAATTACTTACTAATATACAAGGCTACGTAAGAGAGATACGAAACCCAGGGATTTAAATATATCCTGTCCACTTAATAAAGCCGGATACTAAGAAATGCAAACGAGTTACAACAACATGTGCCAAACCTTATAAGAGAAAGCAAACATGATCATTCGGTTTTGTGATTTCAAAAAGTATAATGATTCAACTCTTTCGCCACTTTCATGAAATTTCAACGTAAACAAGAATTATGGAGGAAAACGAGTTTCAACTCTCTTACTACTTTGACTTTTGACGTGAACCAGAGAGCTACGGAGGTTCGCTCTCTCACCAAATTTCGTGTTTGTTATTCGAGAAAAATAGTTTTTACACTGACAATATAAGAATCATATTCACATTTATCCCACCTCCTCATAGAATATTTTCATCCGGGCCATATCTCCTTATATCTGACTTTATCATATCTAACTTTAATCCTGGCCTCAAAACGATAGTTGCACGTACGCAGCTTCAATTGATCAGCGGGGTGCCAAGTTAGCGCCACTATTCTTCAGTACGAGCAAAAAGTTCGAAATTGAATACAAGTGTTCTGTTAAGTCAAGTATAAACAGAAGAAAAAAAGTCAAGCAAAAAAAGGCCTAAGAAAAAATAGATAATGACATTGCAAGTCCTAAGATTTTGGTCGATACTTAAGCTGTGTGTGTTTGTCAATACTATTATATCTGAATTTTTAGTGAAACGTAACCTATACCACTTTTCAAGACTGAATACTACATGTTAAAAGGAACTTGGTATGATTTTTTTTCAGTCCCGGGTGTGTGTTATACAAACGAGATCCACACGTATGATTTTCTCCTTCAATAGTTAGTTCGAATAAAATTAGTGTCCATTTCAATAAATCAACTCTACTCAACAGAAGAGTGATATTACAAACAGAAATAAAGTTCATGGACCTAATTGAACCATCGAGATCGAAATTATACATTTGATCAATTTCCAAAGACCTAAAAGAATGAATTCAAAGTTCAAAAATGACATTGTAAGTTAAACAAAAGTTCAGGAAGCAGTGGGGATTTTATCCCAACAAAAAACGAGGCCTACATCCGATGAACTGCATATCAGAAACTTCAGTCATGAATTTCATCATTAGAGAGCTGATAAAAGAAGTTCGGAGTCGAGTTCACTTCAAGTTACACGGAATTTTCAAGCCAAGTAAATGAAATAAATCAAAACATTAAGACGCTGCCCCCCAGTAATATGATTAAGAGTAAATATTCTATTACATCTACTTTAACACTCCATGAAAACCATACACTGGACAAGGGTTAAATCAGGAGCCCAATATGTCATAAATGTCAGCTACGTCCGCTATTCTCAAAACAATCAACTAGCTTTCCGAAAAAGAAAAAAGCACTTCAATTACATGGACTAGCCAAGTAAACAAAACAAAAGCAAAAGGTTAACGATGTCCATCAGCAATATGATTCAAAATAAATACTAGGCTACATCTACATAAAGCATCCACAATAACCATACACTGGACAATGGTTAAGTCCGAAGCCCAATATGTGACAGATGTCAATGATGTCCGCTATTGCTCTCTTGATGTTCCATCTCCTCAGCATCCTCAAAACGTTGATCGTGAATCTGAAGCTGCAATTCCATCAAGAAAATGTCAATCCATTGGCACGTGTTACTTTCTATGTATTGAGCAGAGAAAATTATAAAACCAAACCAGGCTTTACACGGAAACAGCATAAACCTCCCTTGAAAGAACAGGTATTCTCTGTTTTCTTAGTCATTCTTGTTACACACACATTAATAACACCAAAGGACTTTAGTAGTATGATCTTCCCACCATGACTCATTGAATTTACGGACATTTAAAAGGCATAAGGTGTACATGCACATGCAACGGAATGAAATCCAAATATATATAGCATCACGATCTTCTGTCCTAAGGCCGTGAATTCAGCAGAAATACTTAGAAAAATCTGTAATAAATGCTAAGTGCCCACATCTTCAACTAATCATTATGCCCGAAGCAGCGTTCTCCTATACTATAACAAATGAATGTTTCTCCTATCAAAAGCAATGTGAAAAGGACAGACAGGCAGAGGCTTTAAGAATTGGACTATAGGTAATAGTCAAATTCAAGAAAATCAGAGCTCAAACCAACAGGATCAGTGTCCAATGAACATGAAAGAATCCTACACCCCACATTAAAAGTTCAATTAGATGTGAAATAGTCATGTCTTGCCAATGTTACATCTACACATCCTCCATTTAGCTCATTTTTTGCAGTATGCTAGTGTTGCCAACACCTACATTAATTATTCAATGAAGATTAAGAGTAACTTAGAAAAGACTATAACAAAGACAAGATCAACCAGTTTGTATGTTGAAAGGTCCAGGAAGTAGTGCCCAACATGCTTTAGACATAGTGAATATCCTCTTTATCCTACATCTTTCTTTTTTTTTTGGCCAGAAACCTACATCATCTTTCTTACAATAAAGAAACAACCAACTAGCTTTCAAAAAAAAAAAATTAAGAAACCTTACATTGCTGAGTTTCTGAAAAACACTATTTTGAATTTCTGAAGCATGAATTTAATGTTATTTGCATGCTTACCTCAAGCACATTTTGAGCAAGCTCATGCTCGCCATTAGAATAGCCAATTGAGGTCATTGGATTGGAATGCCAATCAGAATCTTCTCCTTCTGAAAATCCAAACATCATGTCAAATATATATTAATGACCATCTACAAAATTTACTTGAGCATACCATATAATAGGCACATGAGGAAAATCCCCTCCTTACCTCCAGCCTCATGCTCCATCGAGTCAGCACTAAAAACCCAATCATGCCCTCCTCCTTCCCCTTCTTCTGTTGAAAAAAAGAAGAAGAAGAAATATCACTAAACTTTTGAAAGGGAAACTACTGAATATGGAAACAAGCACTAAAGTTGTATACAGAAATAAGTTCTGGTCATGAGGAACTACACTCACCTTCTGAGGGCTCAGGATTCAGCTCAGCACACTCACAGAATACCTCAAACAAAGTGTCCACTACCAGAAAAAGGAAAATGCGGACTATTAGAGCTCATCATAGTAAGTTACAGCTGAGCATGATGCATATTCATTCGATACATACATTGGTTCGGGTCTG